GTGGCTAAAGCAAAGGCCTAGCAGTTAGCTGAAATGATGAAATTAGAAAAGGTAAACTAGAGACAGATTGTGGGAGGCTCAGACAGTTTGTGGAAGGCCTGACCCAGTGGAATGGATTTTATTTCACTGTTGGAGCATTGAGAGTTATTTTTAAAGAAGGAGGTAAAATGACTTGGCCTTCAGAAAAATAACACAAGTCCAATACAGTCACCATGATGAGGTAATGGGAAATACTCAGGTTTTCTTTTCTTTCTTTCTTTCTTTCTTTCTTTTTTTTTTTCAGTACTAGAGATTGAACCCAGGGCCTCACACATGCTAGGCAAGCATCCTACCACTGAGCTACACCCCAAGCCCTTAGGTTTTCTTTAAGTGTTTAAAGTTTTTCAAGTCACTTTAATGTGTTTGCTGTTACTGCATATAATTTCCCACATGTGTTCTCACTTATTGTTACTGCAAGCACATGTCAAATATAAATAAATAAAGAAAAAAGAAAAAAGTCAGGTAAAAAGAAATGGAATATCCAACAGTTGTGATAGTTCTGGTCTCAACAGAAATGAGACTAAAATTACTAACACTCTTCTGCGAGGAGAACAGAAGAAGCAGCAGCAGGAGGAGGAGCAAGAACAGAAAACCTGTGAGGGTGGCAGTGTCGAGACTTGAGCTGGGGACCACATTTTGTGGCTGTAGAAGTCACTATCCCCCATAAGACAGCACGAGGTAGTTGGATGTCATCTTTCCTGACAGAGTCATGGGAGAAGATAGTCCTTTTCTCAAGCAGACACACTGTCAGGACAGATCAACTGCCATCTTCTAGGGGTCTCCCTTTACCAACTTTCAATGAGTTGAAAGTTGGCTCAATAAGGCCGCCACTGGCACACAACATGCAATGCTCTGTGACCCCTCCAGGAAGGCTGCGGATATGACATYTCATAGACTCAGGTTTGGCCCTGCTATGCTACCATCAGCTGCGTCTCCCCAACTCTTTGGTCCCCCCTCCCTCCTGGGTCAAACAGCAGGTTCCTAATACTTCTAAACAKCGATGATACTGTAATGCTTATGGAACGATGGACATCAAGCTTTTGGGAAGGAGTGGAAGGGGGTTCTGCTTTTAGACACAGGTATTAAAACTGCTTCCTGTTGCTCTGCTAACCAAAGCAAGTAATTTCTCATTAGTCACTTCGCAGGGAGAATCAGTGGTGTTTGCTAAAGTGTCAAAACCTCACTAACAAACACATTTACCATGGCTGAGGGAGAGCTTTATCCATGTCTTTTCAACATGAAAAATTTAATAAACTAATACATAAAACTTTTTAAAATAAGGAGATGCTGTGGTAGTGCCTGTAGTCTGAATCATATATCTGTTTGGGGGGAAAGAATGAAAACAAGGAAGAAGGAAATGCAGACATGTAGTCATTTTCCTCTTCCCTCCAGGATAGAAATCTGGCCTCCATTTTGAGCCAAGTACTTAAGATTGGCCTAATTTGGAGTCTAGCCAAGCAAATTCATAATAGGACAACAACAGTGAGAGAAAGGCAATCTCCTGGAAGGGTTAGGAGGCTAAAAGTAAGCTCCTGGTGTCCTTTCAAAAGAACTAAACTGTTCTGATGTCATAAAGATGCTGTTTTCTGAAGGATGTGTGTCAATGTATTTCCTATTAGACACAAAGTGATACAAGATTTCTTGAGGATTTCTTTTTTTAAGTTTTAATTTTCTCTTGGTTGGGCAATTTGATTTTACTCTTACCTGTTAATAATAGAGTTTCCATGTTTCCAAACATACTTAAGACAATCTAATAGGTCCCTCTTCGTCAGATCATCTCTTAATAGATTAAAAAATGCTACCTACTGGTAATCATCTCTAGCCTGCTGGGAAAGTTGCAGGCTGACCTGATGGTATAATTTCACCTTTGCCCTCACAGTTCAACAGGTCGAGGAAGCCGAGGCTGGTCTGAGAGCAGTGCAGCCGTCAGCAAGGATTAAAAGGGGTGACTCATTCTGGCTTCACACCTCCCCCATTGCCATTTCCCTGGCAGCTGAGCATTTTCAGAAAATGGTGCCTTGGAGAGGAAATGTAGGAGAAGGAAGAGGGGAAAGATTAGTCCCACGTGTTCTATGTCACTCCATCTCTGACACTGCATAGATAATGTTCTTTTCCCTTCCTGTGACATCACTATTTTTTGTCACAAAGGCTATTTCAATTAAATGATTCAGGGGGTTCTCCAGAAAAAAAAATCTCTCAAACAATAGTTTAGGATATAAATTAATGCTAGAAGATTAGAACAGTGCTCAGGAACAAGAACACCATGTATCTGACAGGAGTCTGATGAATAAAGGACTTAAGAGCAAACAAATAAGAGATACCTGGGTGCCCTGAGTAAAATATATGAATGGTGAGTTAGTACTACTGTTTTTCTTTTCTTTTTTTAGATTCTCAGATTAAATAACATCTTCCCAAATTTTTCTTTTCAAACTTTAAAGGCTGGGAGTATAGTTCTGGGATAGAGCATTTACCTAGCATGCTCGAGGCCCTGGGTTCAATCCCCAACACCGTGAAAAACACAACAACAACAACAACAACAACAACAACAAAATTCCAACAAAACACCTTCAACATGAGATATGGTTCATGACATGAACCCCCATCTATATAGGAAAGAAATTACCTTAGGTCATACACAGGCCCTATAATACAAAGTGGTATTCTTAAATGTTGTCTTAGATTTCTTCTCTAAGTCATGCCACAGACTTGTAGATGAGAGAGGCCTTCATGATCATTTCATTACCTATTCAGTCTTTCCATTTCACAGATGAGTGAACAGCAAGGTTATGTGATTTGTCTAAACATACACAGTTAAGAAATGATAGGTCTAGAATGGAGCCTGGGTCTTCTGACTTCTAATCTGGCTTTTCTGATTGAGCTGTATCAGAATTTACCAACCAACCAACAACGTCCCCAGTTATTCTGGGACCTGAAGCCCTGAACTTGTCACCTAAGCTGAAATCAACAGCTCACTTTACTCAGTTTCTGATTCTAGCACTGAGTAGAAATCAGCACCTTCAGAGTCAGCAGCATCTCCTTTGAGACTGGAGGTGAAGGAGCAAAAACGCTACCTGTCAAATGGTGAGAAACAAACGGGATGGATCCCTGAGATGACAAGCAGAACCCTGTGGACCCCACACAGGAAACAAGCTGTGTTTTTTAACCCATGAAAATACCAAAGCAGGCTGAAGCTGTTGTTCAGTGGCAGAGCGCTCACCTGGCATGTGTGAGGCACTGGGTTCGATCCTTGGCACCACATAAAAATAAATAAAAGCCTGCTGTCCACCTACAACTAATAAAAAATTTTTTTAAAAAGAAAATACTAGAGCAACTTTTATTTTAGTAAATAGGGCTTTAGCTCAACTATACATTAGGGCAGCTATGAGAACTAGGCGCCCTCTCTTAAATTTTAGTTCTCTTGGATCAACAGGCATTGGCTAAAACTGGATTAAAATTAAGATGCTTTACATGGGGTTTCCTTGCTTACTTCTCCCCCAAGTCCCTCTACATACCAGCTTCAGCCATTACTGGAGTTAAAAACTTTCCCCAAATTAAAATACACTCATGCCATAGAAAAAACAATTCAAGCTTTCTTTTATATGGCAGTTGGAAATTCCTCACATAAGGTCAAAAGACAAACAGGCAATGATTTAAGACTTGAACTCACAACTGAATTTCCTCTGACATTTCTCACCAAGGGGAGAGAAAGCAGTAAGGAGGAGGGAGTCTCCCTAAACTGGAATACACCAAAATTTTTAAAAAAATATGTTTTGGTTGTCAGTAGACATTTATTTTTATTTATTTTTGTGCAGTGCTGAGAATCAAATCCAGTGCCTCACATACGCTAGGCAAGCACTCTACCACTGAGCCACAACCCAGCCCTGGAATATACCAACTTTAATATGGCAATTTATTCTCAAAGTGATTAAAATTGTACAAAACCTTTTAATTAATAAAAATAAAATAAGCAGCAACACCAAGTCAGGTAATTTTGAAATATATGGGTTCTTTCAGTATACTCTACAATTCACATAAAATGCTTGTAAAAATCTAGTCAGATTGAAAAACCAGGCAGGCACTTGTCTCCATAAAAGTTACTGAAAAGAATAAACATGAAAGGACTGAAGTAGGAAATCAACAGCAGCAAGCAGCTTTGGAGAAGACATTGTCAGGTTTCTAAAATATTTTTGTGTTGAAGAAGGTCTATTTTCGTGTGATAACTATTTTTGTTCAATATCACCAACTTTCAATTTGTAACAAAACTGATATATTCAATTCAGCCATCTACTTCCCAACTACATATCTATTTTAAATATCATGTATACAGGAACATCTGGAAGAGTCCAGCAAAATATCCCTACCATTTGGAAGTTCTAACACTTTAATGAACATAAATATTTCTCAGTTGTTTCATTCTGTTGTAGTTTTTGACAATGTGAAAATCAATGGCATAAAAATTAATTTCAGTAAGACAAGTGATTAAATCAAGCCATGTTATTTAAATCTATGTGGCCCAGTCACTTTCCCTTAAAATTCAAGAAAATATGACAATATGTTTCAGAGAATGAACAAAGTTTGAGCATGCAAGCAGAACCAACTTATAACATATAATTACAAAAATGCTATCTTGAACATCTTGCTGGTGTAAGTTGCATAAACTCATGCAACATATGTCATTCAGAGTGAAGAGGAAGGAACAGCATTTTAAACACCACCTCCATTTAGGAAACTGGATACCAAATGCTCCCATCTTCTGTTGATAAGATTCTTCAGTTAATATCTTTTATTCTATTTTCTAGAGCCATCCAAATGAATCACACCAAATAAAAGTGTACAATGGAAAATAAGTACCTTGTTTTAACAGAGGTTAAATTAGAAGGGCTTGTGTTAGTAAAGCATCTATATGTTATCTCATTCAAACTATCTGCTAACAGCAGCAGGAAAAAGATTTGTATTCTTACCAATGAATTTCTGAGGCATTGAGCTTTTTCGTTTTGCCACATTGCTTGCTAATCTGTCCAGAACGAGAGCTCTTTCACTTCCCATCTCTGCTTTGATGTGTCTTGCCTCCGCACTTGCTGGTTTGGAGAAAAATAAGAGGGAAAAGAACACGCTGGTAAATGGGGAGAAAACAAAATCAGCTGGTGTCTATGGTCTGTTGTCGTTACCTGTTATTACTGCTCAGATTTCTGCCGGGGGTACTTGGCGTGGTCAGTGAGGCCGCYACCAGGGCACATTCAAATTTTGCAGTCTTGTGCTGAGATGGGAAAGCCCTACCCATCCCCAACCAGTACCTTCATTAGCAAGAGGAAGTATTGAAGAAACAGCCTGGACGTGGTTGGTTACAAAAAGATAGATGGAGATCTTCTAACCCCCATCAGTCTTCTTTCTGATTCTGAGTAACTGCGTGTGACACCTGCACACTGATAKAATTCTTCTTAACAACTTTGAAAAAAAAAATGGTGCCCCAGATTTACTGCTCTGTTTATGTTAACAGCACTTTTGAAAATAGACACACTCACCCAAATAGCAAGAAATCTACTCAGTGATTTGTGTATTGAAATTCTGAGTGTTTTTTTTTCCTCTTTTTTTTTCTCAGCATTCTCCTCTCAGTTTCTTTCAAATTCTGTTTCTCTGGGCTCTGCATGATCTATTTCATATGCTCTTCCCATTTCAAAACTGTCTCAAGTTAAAATTTCCCTGAGCCCCACTGCTTTATTGAAATTCAAGAAAATTTTCTATAATGAATTTCTATTATATTTCTAATGAAAAAATGTAAATAAAAACTGCTAAGAATGTGGGATAATTGCCCATCCATAAATAGACATTTGAATGATATAGGCCTGCATTTCCAGCTCTGGCTGCACAGCATGATCACCTGAAGCACGGGTAAGAAATATCTATGTCGACCCCTCCCCAGATTAACACGATCAGGTGCTCTGGAAGAGAGGTCTAGGCAATAGCATTTTCAAAGCTTCCCAGATGATTTTAAAATGCATCCAGAATTACATACCACCAGAAGAGTATATAAGTAGTACCTATATCTAATTTACTAAAACTAAATTGGAATAAATATAATTTACCTTGGTACAGCAGGATTACCCAAGAAGACCTCATGTGTAAGGTTCAGAGATACTAGCATCTTTAAATATAAAGCTTAAAACTTTTGCACATGAGTCTAGCCTGAGCCAAAGAGTAGCAAACTATTGCAATTAAAAGCTAGATAGTAGATATTTTAAAAATTGTCTTTGTYGGGACTGGAGTTGTGGCTCAGTGGTAGAGCACTTGCCTGGCATGTGTGAGGCCCTTAGTTCAATCCTCAGCACTGTATATAAATAAATAGAATAAAAAAATCCATTTACAACTAAAAATTATTTTTAAAAAAATTATCTCTGTCCTATATTCTTGGGTGAGTCTCTGCCCTATGTCCCTTTAAACATGCAAAATCCCTGTATGAAAACAGGTTTCTGGCTGCATTTGGCCAGAAGGCCATAGCTTACCCACCTCTGCCACACACTGAAGTATTGTGATAGTGTAAGCATTTCTCTCTGTTTTACCTAAGCATTTCAGGAAATCCAAACTAAAAAGAAGTATCCATACATCTCTAATGTGTCTAAAGAAGAAGATATTAAAATTAGTTTAAGGGACTAGAGTAAAAAGCAAGTGATGACTGCAGAATGGAATCTCCTACCCAACCCTGTGCCTAAATAGAGAGATTCRGGAACCATCAGGGCCTGTTCTGTAGTTGAAGAGTACAGTGTGTTTGCAGTGTGAAGAGATTTTCAGTTGTAGATGGACACAATACCTTTATTTTATTTGTTTTTGTTTTTTAATTTTTAATGTGTGCCAGGGAAAAGATTTTGATACACAGAAATAATGTCACAAATTCCATGGTCTATCAGACATTCAGGACCACAAATGGACATATCCAGAGAGAAAACTGGCTCCCTTTACAGTCAGTGAATTAYAGGGAAAGATCTTCAGGGCAAGACTGTCAAGCGTGGMTACAGTAAGAACCTAAACAAAATTAGAAAAAGAATTATTGTTCATTTTATTATTGGCATGAAAAATAAACTCTAGGAGCTGGGGTTGTGGCTCAGTGGTGGAGCACTCACCTAGCAAATGTGAGGCGCTAGTTCACTCCTCAGTACCATGTTAAAAAAATAAATTAAATAAAATAGAGGTATTGTGTCCAGCTACAACTAAAAACATATTTAAAAAATTAACTCCATGCCAGTCATTACACAAGACATTATAAAGCTCAGTGCTTTGTTTTGTTTTGTTTTTAAATTCAGGAATAAGAGGAAATCTGACCCAAAAAAGAATAAAGGAAGAGACTGGTGGCAATGACAATATTTAACTGGGCTATGTGAGTTTCTTGTCAAAAACAGGTCCAGGCTCTAAAGAAATAAATCTCCAGTCTATGCTATTAACAACTGTGTATATAAATGAAACAATAAGGGTCAGAATAAGGGGCCTGGGCAGCTAGCTTCTGGACTAGTGGCAGAGTAGTTGGTCTTTAGCACTTGGGCACAGGACACTGCTATTGAGTGAAGTGGATCGATTCTGTCCGGCCTGGGGATAAGTTTAAATGACCAAACAGGAAACTATTATATATACTATTTCCTTTCACACAAACCACCACCAGATGTGGCAGTACCCAAAGCCCCAAAAGCAGAAAGATGAAAGCCAAAGCCTGGAATTTGAAGTAAGTCCCTGCTGTTGTCACAAAGAGATGTCTCCTTAGAAGCAGAGGAGAAGCTCCYCAGTTTGTGCTTTGATTAGGAATCTTCGTTCTGGTTTGAGCAATTCTAATCCAAGTAAAACTGCTTGCTACCCTGTATTTGTTTTAAAAAATGAAATGAGAATGAAGATCAGTACTTTGGGAATGTTTACCCATCACTCCCACTGTACCACTGTTCTTATAGGCCCCTGGCCAGATCACTGCCTAGGACTTACCCCAAGCATTATTCTGCCTGCCTCATCTCCCCATTTGCCTCTCAGCAGTCACTGCCTACATTTTACCAGAGTCACTATCAATGATTACAAGAAACTTTCTGAGGACACGTAATCAACATCCTTTACATTGGGGAGGGTGCTGAAATGTGGACACATTGACCTAAATAACCGTAATTAGGGCATGTCACTAAATGGCAACCTTCTGAGATAACATCACCTTATATTCCTGGTTACCCACCAAGCTGCTCTTAACAGTCATTTCCAGATAAATCTTACTCTGTAAATTGTGACCAAATGCCTGACATTTAAGAAAATTAAATTCCAGAGTGTTCATGGGTGGATAGATAATTTAAGGCATGGTTAGAGACTTCTCCATTTCCACAACTCTGAAACTAATCTAGGACCCCCCATCCCATTCACTTGCACCCTCTCTCTGAATTGCTCACTTAATACAGCACCTCTAAGATCCCAACCCTCAATGTACACTGGAATACACACTGGGGATCCAGTTCCTTCACAAAGTTAGCTATTTTCTAACTGGCAAGTTAGGCAACAGCTCATTTTCAACTGAATATGGTGTGCTATCATTTTTTTCCCTAAGTGTCAAGTCTTTTGCCTTGAAATTGTCGGACAGCTGATTCACAGAACCACCACATAAGCACCCTTTAAGAACACAAAGAAATACTTTGGAGCTGGACCATCTCTTTGGGATTGCACAGGGCAGTACAGTGCACTGAAAATACAAACAAAAGAGGGCTATTGGCTTTTGGTCCTCTGCTCCAACTTCAGGACCCAACTATTTATAGAGTCTAAACCTGCTATCTCACCATATCACCTCTTAGAAATGTAAGTGAAGGGAAATCAGTTTGGCAAGAAAGTAAGGGAACAAGATAATGGGTTTAAATGACGAAATAGGAAATCCGTTCCTGGGTGGTGTTTGGTGGTTTAATGTTGCAAGTGGTGGGTGTGGGGAATATGGGATGATAGCAAGGAACAGTTTGCACACTTGGTTCTCAAATGCGAATAGAAGGAGTAGAAGAGCAACTCTGGATCAATTAATTTCCCTTTATCTCACTTGCCTACTATATAGTGGATATAATAATTTTCAYTTGCAAAGCGATTTTGAAGACACGTTGAAAAACAAATAGTAAAATGTGACATAAAAATCACCACCTTTATTCACTGCATAAGCTTTTATAGTTTGATTGTTAGTTAACTGTTTCCATGATGCAATTTCTATATCAAAGTGATTAGAGATTTAACTATATAACGGTGTTGTGCTTTTGTTTTTGTTCAAAATCAGTCATTAGGTCTTTAAGTGTTAAATGGAGCTTAAATAAGAGGCATTGCTTCCTGTCTCTTCTATGGTGTGGTCAGTCTCATAGAGAGTGGAACAAAGGGGTGCTATTGTGCAATAAGAATTGTCTAACAAGAGATTACTATCAAAGGCTGAGGCAGGTTCTGACAAAAAATGTTACATAAAACTGTTGCCTTTTTGAGTAAGGAAAATGAATACAACTCATGAGATATCAATTGGAAAATAGGCAAGTTTTTAAGAACTTTGTTCTTTGTTCTGCTATAGTGGTAAAAACACAAATTTATTCTGAAATCCTCATGTTTGCACCAGCTCTTTTGGAACAAGGACAGTGAAGATGGAAAGTCTGACTTATGGATTCATCCATAAATGTAATTATTCGATTACTTTAAAAATCTTAAAGTAATCTGGAACTCATTGTTACACAAAAATATGTATGAGTCCAAGTATTCAATTTGTGTGGAATGAGATTCATTTGAATCTCCATACCAATTATTGGTCCCTTGAATTAGAGATCGAGCTAATAAGAAAATCAAGTCTAGGGCTGGGGATGTGGCTCAAGCGGTAGTGTGCTCGCCTGGCATGCGCGGGGCACTGGGTTTGAGCCTCAGCACCACATAAAACTAAAATAAAGATGTTGTATCCACCGAAAATTTAAAAATAAATATTAAAAAAATTCTCTCTCTCTCTCTCCTAAAAAAAAAAAAAAATCAAAGCAAGTCTATGGTCTTCCAGATTTTTTTTTTCTTCTGGCCATATATACTCTATTAAGACAACAGAACTGGACTATTTTGATGGCGTCACTTTGATGTCCAGTATAGAAACTTGGGCTGAAGTAGCAATAACTTAGGTATCTCTATCAGGCCTCTGCATTGTATCAAGAGATCAGTTTATTATTGGGTTGTGAATTCTTCCAGAGTAAGGGCTCAGCTTTTACTCAATCTTACAAAAAATTCTGACACTAAACTCAACAAATGTTGTCTGGATAAAATAAAATGATTAGTAAGGCCAGTTCTGTTGCCCAATACCTACACAGTCTTTTGGAGCTTGGTGAAGCTTTTTCATCCATCTGCTTCCACAAAAGCCTGCTTCCTTGTGGAGGCAGCTTTGTCCCTGGGCTTAGCTCTCCTACTATGCTACACTTCAATATTTATTTATTTACTTATTTATTTATAGTACTGGCCATGGAACCCAGGGCCTCACACATGTTAGAYGAGTGCATTCCCACTGAGCTA